AACTTCCACATCACGCTGTCATCAAAAAGCGGTAGACATAGTACATGTCCACATAATGGAGACACAGTAACCAGGAAGCATCCTGAATTTTAAGAATATTTAATAATATGGGAAATGTTCATAATATGTTAAAGAAAAGAGAAAAAATTGTTGAGTATCATCGTGGTAAGTTGCTATATATACATTATCTCATTTAATCCTCATATTAACTGACAACATAATTAATTCTATTATCTCCATTTTACAAATGTTGAAATGAGTCCAAGATGTAAGAAGGTTGCCCAAGATCACACAGCTAATGCATGGCAGAGCCAGGATTTGAACTTAGGTCACTTTGACTCCAGGGCTCACACACTCAACCACTGTGCTGTATTGTGTCTCAGGACACCAAATTATACACACAGCATGACGGTAATTTGGGCAATATATGCATGCACACTGCACACATGCATGGGAGATAAAAGACGGGAAGGAAACACATGAAACTTTTAAATGTGGTCATCACCAAGGGTCAGATCATGGATGATATTTATTGTCTGCTCTATACTTTCCTATATTTTCTAATTTTTCTCCAATGAAAATTTGTTTTTTTAATCAATAAAAACATTGATAATACAGAACGAACATAATACACTGTGCCCTCTGGGTCCCCCACTCCATCCTCAGCCTCTTCTTGCACGCTCGCTCCATCACCTGACCTCAGTGGAAACCAGGCCGACTCGAGCTCATATGTAGAAGGGACTATTGCTGCTCCAGACTGTCGCTTCCCGCCCTCTGCCTTGGGACTCAGCAGCTGTCAGTACCACTTTCCCCTCCAACTGAACCTGGTCTCTTTGCCTCGGGTTCCCTCGTGGTCTTTCTTGACATCTTCAACGTCTGCATGGACCATCCACCCAGTACCCTGGCCCATCAGTTCGTTGGCTCCCTGTGGCCAACAAATAACCTTTTTCTCCACCCGTGCATGGGGAGAGAGGGGTGAGGTGAGGAAAATGATTGGCCATGGAGTCTAATCTGGAGAAGAAATGTGAAGAAAGGAAAGGGCCAATGGAGATCAAGACACTGAGAGTTCAATGTCGTGATAAGGGTGAAGTACAGTTTGCCTGGACATGCTCACCAGCATATGTTCTAATTCTTAAAAAATATCAACTTCATAAACAACAACACAGAAAATGGGCAGGAGATTGTTTTAGATGGAAAGAGACTAAAGAGACGTGGTAACTATTAATAAATGCAATGTGTGGCCCTTGGTTAGATGCTGGATATTAAGGGAACAATTGGGGAAAATTGAGTATGGATGGGGCAATGTCAAACTTCCTAGGCCTGCTAACAGCGCTATGGTTATGGAGACCTCCTCAGTCTTAAGAGTACAGAGTACTTAGGAGTGACATATCATGATGTCTATTATTTTCAAATGGTTCAAAGAAAATAGTATGTACCCACATACACGTGTACCCACATACAGATTGATCAAGCAAAAGTGGCCAAAAATTACCAATTGGTGATTCTAGATAAAAGGTATCTGCACTACTCGTTCAACTTTTCTGTATTTTTGAAATTTTCAAAATAATAGGTTGAGGGGACTATTACATTTCTCATGGGTGACAGTTTATGGCAACCAACACATTTTTCACAGATATTAAGCCTACGCTTATTTTCTAACAAATTAGCTGATTATGAACAAGTTGGTTGACTTTTGTTGAACTCACATCTTGTTTAAGTGGGTAGGTATAAGAGTTATAAGAATATATACCTTTTAGAAACCAGAAGGAAACTGAATAGACCAGGGGTCCTCAAACTTTTTAAACAGGGGGCCAGTTCACTGTGCCTCAGACCATTTAAAAACAACTATGAACAAATTCCTATGCACACTGCACATATCTTATTTCAAAGTGAAAAATCAAATGGGCAAAAACACCGGCATGTGGCCCATGGGCTGTAGTTTGAGGACACCTGGAATAGACCATCCACCTAAAACTCAGATCCCTGTGGGAAGGAGTGCATCGTGCTCACATATTACTGCTCATACATTCCATCCTCCCTCTGGGACCATCTAGACTCAAGATATGTCATTGGGAGGACGTCCCCTAAAACCAACACTCACACACACACAACATTAACAGGCACACACATATGCAAACCACGCCAAACAAGTATGTTTCTGAGTTTCAACTAACTTGCCTTCTAGTGCTACGAGACCAGTATCCCAGATTTAGATTCAGCATTCTTTTTGAAATTATGACATGCTGTGTGATGGTTAAGTTTTAGGTGTCAACATGACTGGATTAAGGAACACCGAGAAACCTGGCAAAGCGTTATCTTGCAGTGTGTATCTTGAGGGTGTTTCCAGAGGAGACTGGCATGAGTCTGAGTGCATTAGGTGGAGAAGAGTCATCCTCAACATGGGCGGGCACCGTCCGCTCTGCTGGGGGCCCGGAGAGAACAAAAACAGAGAAAAGGCAAATATGTTGATCCATCTGCCAGAGCTGAGATACTCTCTTCCTTTCCTGTCCGGGGACGACGACTCCAGACTTCCCGGCTTTTGGACTTCAGGGCTTGCACCAGCAGCCCTGCAGGCTCTCAGGCCTTCGGCGTCAGACTGAGGGTTCCTCTGTCTGATTCCCTGGTTCTCAGCCCGAGCCACGTGACCAGCATCCCCAGCTTGGAGACGGCCTGTCGTGGGACTTCTCAGCCTCTGTAATCAAGTGAGCCAGTTTCCCTTATAAATCTGCTCTAATCTATCTAATCATCTATCCATCTATTATCTATCTATCTATCTAATCATCTATTATCTATCTACCCATCTCCTATTAGTTCTGTCCCTCTGGAGAACCCTGACTACCGTATACTACGACCTTAATTCATGGAGCAAACATTTTTAAGTGTATTTTTCTCATTAAATTATTTAGGTTCAATGTTTATGTGGCAGTGTTGAGAACTCTGAATACATTTCCATCATATTCAAAGTACTGCTACTCTCTGGACACCTCAAGGTAATTTCTGACATTATGACAAATATAAAAACCTGAATGGCTGAACTTGTGCGTACAGAGTAGTTTTATTATGGCATTATAAAGTATCTCTCAAAAGGACTCACTCAGTCATATATTAGACTTCATTTCTATAACATAAAATTTCATATTTATACTGGGGAATCTCAGGAATAGTTTCTTTATATGGTTCCAGGCTTTGCCGCTAGCACAACTGGAAAGAGTGCCTCTGGCATTACCAATAGGAGTGTGAGAGGAGGGTGTACCTTGATATGACCATAATTGTTAGCTGTAGTATCTATGGAATGTGACTATATATATTTCATATAATTTGGTTAAACATATATTTTTATAGTTAATAGCTAACATAAATAGAATATAAATAAAATTTTAAATGAGTACAAAAAATGACAATGGTAGTGAGAAGGGTGCACATTTCTTCATTCTTCCTATTCTCTGTTGATTATATTTCCTTTTGGAAACTCTTTCCCCACTGGCTTCCATGATACACACTCTCCTAGTTTTCTTCTGGCCTCTCTGGCTACTTGACTTCGTTCTCCTTGGTGGTTGCTTTTCCTCCAATTGCTGCTTAATTATTAGCTTTCCCAGGAGTCTTTACCTGGCCCTATCCTCGCTCTATCCCCTCCCTCTGGGGATCTCACCCATGGCTTCAGCTACCAGGGATGTCTTCCATATATCCACTTTAAGCCAAGATTGCTCCTCAGAACCGCAAACTCAAGGACATATTTCCTGCTGGACTTCTCCACCCACGTGCTCCACAGGGACCCCAATAGTAGCATGTCCAACACTCAGGTACTCTTCCTCCCAAATGCCCTCCTCTGCTTTCCCTTGACCAGCACGTGCTGTCCTCTTCCCAACACAAATCTTTGGAGTTACCTGAGTCTTCTCTCTAGCTTGCCCTAAAGATAATTGCTCAATAAGTCTTATTGATTCTACAATTTAAATATCTTTTTTAAAAATTTTTTCTTTTTTTTCTTTGTTTTTTTGAGACAGAGTCTCACTCTGTTGCCCAGGCTAGAGTCAGTGCCGTAGCGTCAGCCTAGCTCACAGCAACCTCAAACTCCTGGGCTCAAGCGATCCTCCTGCCTCAGCCTCCCGAGTAGCTGGGACTACAGGCATACACCACCATGCCTGGCTAATTTTTGTATATATATTAGTTGGCCAATTAATTTCTTTCTATTTTTAGTGGAGACGGGGGTCTCGCTCTTGCTCAGGCTGGTTTCGAACTCCTGACCTCGAGCAATCCTCCCGCCTTGGCCTCCCAGAGTGCTAGGATTACAGGCACGAGCCACCGCGCTCAGCCAAATATCTTTTAAATCTTTCTCCTTTCTCCACTTCATTTCCAATGGCTTGGCTGATGACTCAATATTTCTAAATAATATTTCAAAATCATCTCCCTCTTTTGGAGATTCTTTGTGAATCCAGTCCTTACTTTATTGTTACAATGATTTTCTTTTTTTATTATTATTATTATTGCTAATCTTTATTTTTCTCCTTACAACATTCTGACATTAACTGTTTAAAAGGAAAAAGGAAAATGGGTAGCGTATCCCTTAAGAGTACTTTTTTTTTTCAGAATGGTTTTCTTAATATGCAAATTACAACAGTGTCACTGCTCAGACTCCTTCAATACCTCCCCTTTACTTTCAAATTCCTTAGGATATTCTAGGCAGCCCTTCCTTATCTTGCCCGCTGCTCATTCATATCCACTGTGTCACCACAATGTCCTGCATTGAATCGCCAAGTCCGGCTCTCCTGCCTCCCACCGCTCTGCCTTGGCACGGGCTGCTTTGTTTCTCTGGAATGCCTTTCGCCCGCGTGCCTTGCTGATGTCAACTCAGCTGAAGCTTCATCTCGTCTGGAAAGACGGTTCTCCCTCTGTCGGTCCGATCGGGTATTTCCCCGTGTGTCGACACCCTGCTCTGCTCGTGCATCTGTCCCGCAACACCATGTGACAGTGCTGTCTTCCTGTCTCTGTCCTCCACTGGACTAGGAAGTTCCTACGTTTAGGAATTCTGTCTTTATCTCTGTGTTCACAGGGCCTGGCATACAATATACATCAAACAAACCTTTGTTAGATGAAAATCTATAGTAAGAACTCACACAGAAGAAGATTTGTAGTGAAGCGCATCATTAATATCCAGGTTTAGCATTGATGGTGAGACTCCCGATCGAACATCCGTTTTCCTCAGCTCTGAGCGACTACAGATTAGTTGCCATGGAAAGGGAAAAGGAAGTTTCAAACTGGGCTGCAGAGGTGGTCACCAGAGGCTGGGGTGGGACAACTGGGGAGATGTTGGTCAAAGGACGCCAAATGTCAGTTAAACAGGACGAATAAGTGCAAGAGATCCATTGTACATCACAGTGACTGCAGTTAATAACAATATATTGTATACTTGAAAACTGCTAAGAGAGTAGATTTTAAGTGTCCTCACCACAAAAAAATGATAAGAATGCAAAGTAATGCATATGTTAAATAGCTTGATTTTAACCATTCCACAATGTATGCAAATATCAAAAAAATCATGTTATACACCATAAGAACATACAATTCTTACTCATTAAAAAAAATTGTTTTTTTTCTTTTTAGAGACAGGGTCTTGCTATGTTACCCAGGCTGGTCTCAAACTCCTGGCCTCAAGCCATCTTCCCACTTCAGCTTCCCAAAATGCTGGGATTATAGGCATAAGCCACAAAGCCTGGCCAAAAATAAAAAGTAAAAAATTAAATGTAATAAAATGATCTGCAGAAAGTTGTTATAACTGATTGTGAATTCTTTCATGGCCTCATGGTAAAATATCAATAACAGATATTATCCTCTTTTTCTAAGTTCTGAATATATTTTTACCTAGATGAGAAGTCTGTTTTTCAACACTACAGGTTTCACTTAAGCTTTCTAATTTGCATTCAGTTGAACTGTAGCTAGTCGGAGATTTAAAGAGGAAATACTCCTTCATCATTTATATAACAAGTGCTGCAGCTTCTATAATCTTTATGAGATTCATATGAACCACTGATTTGTGACAACATCAGTTGACATTTTATAGATCATCAGAATCTTCCTCAAGGCAGAAATTTACAGCCTTGTATCTATCTAATAGCCAACAGTCACGGAAGTATTCATGTAGCTGCTAACATTTATATTCCTGAACCTCACCGTACAACTTCATCGTACTGTACAATCTTTGACAGCAATTCCTTCTCCTGTTTTCAATCATTCTTGGTTATGAAGCTATAAAATTACAAAAACATGAGGATTAGAATCTTCTTTTAACATGTTCCTTGTCTATGTTTTTTCAACAGCAGAATGAAATTATTTCACCAATATGAAGACTTACTTAAACCCCTCATTTCTTTTCATTATCAGTTTGCTTCTTTCCAGGGGAAAGATACTTTGTTCCTTCAACCATGGAGGGCAGAGAATCTTACCCCACTCCCCTGGAATTCCATCTTAGAAACTAGAATCCTATGGCGATTACAGGCTACACATTTCCTTTTGTTTCATAAACATGGGGGAAAGTTAGGAGTCTCCAGGGTGGGAAGCTCAGGAGACAGGATTACTGCTCAGGACCACTGCAGTAGGAGAGCACTCCACTGCCCCACATGGCTGATTTTTAAAAAATATTCTGCCTATGCACCACTACCCAAAATGAATTGCACTAAATGATGCTTTGGGATATAAAATGAAAAATATTAAAACTTCCATTTATAATCATTTTTATCTGAAAACAAATTTTAAAACTAAGCTTAACTAATATTAAATATATTTTGAGCATGTACTTTAATATATTAAATACATGTAAATTAGGGTACCTGCTCAAAATACTTTTATTGATATATGCACGATCAAATATGTTTGGGGTTTTGCTACTGGAAGTGATGAGACACCACTGAAAATTGTGGCCAGGATAATGACATCATGAAAGGGAATTTTAGGAAAATCAATCTAAGAGCAATACAGAGGTTAACTTGGAAAGAGTAGATATTGACGTGAGAAGGGGCAGTTAGAAGCCTATTGTAGGGGTAAGATATGTAACCCTAACAATATTTGTACACACAGAATTTGGGGAAAAAATAAATTAATTAATTAATTTTAAAAAAAGAAGCCTATTGCAAGAATCTAAATGCCAACTGGGTTGGCGGTAGTGGGAAATAGAAAGTCGTAGTTGAAAGAGATGATGTAAAAGAAGAATCTTAAATGTTAGGAGTGAAAAAAATGTCAAAGAATGTGTGGAGATTTTGAGTTGAATTGGCTCAAGAAAAAAAAAAACCAGTTATCAGTGTCTATTCATGCCAACCAACCAAGAGAATAGGTTCACGAGCAACAGGTGTCCACAGTGAATGCCCACAGTGCATGGGAGCAGGTGACCAGCGATGGCCACAGTGAGGCCAGCACGGGCTCAGGAGGCAGCACAAGGAGCTTAATGAGGTGGCTGTCAGGAGCTTGCCTGTCCACCCAAATGCCATCTTAGGGGAGAAGGAAAAGGGGGCAAAGTCTGAGCATCTACCTGGCCCCGCATGTTTATGCCAGAAGCTGAACTTGACAAGCCCTCACTCCTCCACAAGCGCACTGCACACACAGACCGGCGGTTTGACAGCAAGACTAGATCGATTATAGCAAATAAACCGTGTGTGCTTTACATGTCTGAGGAGTAGTGTATAGCCTTTTAAGAGCTAAGTAACACTAGGATAGCATTAAAGAAAAAATTATTCAACGAGGGCTGTAAAAGCGTGGTAAGGCATGCTGCATCCAGCACCACTGTGATCGGCATTGGCACCATTGCAACGGAGTCCCGCAGTGGGGAGAGAGATTGGGTTCAGCTCTGAACACAGCACGGGCACGTGGGGATTTGCAGCGAGGGAGCGGGTGGGGCTCAGTGGACGGGAAATTACTAAGAAGAAACAGCAGTGGTGAGGGGGTTTCTGGCTCAACCGACCTAGCAATTAGAGCCCAACTAAAGCCTGGTCAAGCAAAGAATCCTTATCAACAGAGGTACACAGAATAACCCAGGCGTATTTCAGTATGTTTTATTCTCAGTAAGTGGTCTGAGAGCTTCCACAAAAAGGAGGTATGCCATCAATATTTTGGTCTGTTTTATAAAACAAGTCTTTTTTCATATTTTTACTTGTATGTGTACTTTTGACTAATGACAACCTCCACCAAAATAGAGACACCTGGTGATTGTTAGTGTGCATATGCAATATATTTATAAAATCTTGCTTTAAATGGGTTATATCATTTATAACATTTTTGTCATGCAATCTTATGGCATCCGAATTCCGCTATATTAAAAATTAGATTAAATTAATTGGATTTTTAAAATATTTTGTTAAACAAATTAATGAAGTACATAAGCATTCCTTATACATCTGTTGTTTATATTCACATTTATACTCCAGGCTCAAGATCAAGGGTACATATTATACACGCACAGATACACATTTATACACAACGCCTTAGCCTTAGATGTGGAAAATCATCCTCTTTGGCAAAAGGACACACCTATTTGAAATTTAAAGAGGTTGGAAATACAAAATGTTTGTTTTTCTGGAATAAATAAAAGCCCACATGGCCTTGTTCCCTGCAGAATGTGGTAGGAACCCTTTCCACTCAGGCAAAGGCTAATTGGGCATTAGAAAATGCCAGCGAATCTCATTGTAATGGGATTCTATCCATGTGTAATTGCCATTCCCAGAACCAAATACTTTCATCTGTTCCCATGTCTTCCAAAAAATTAGTACCCTTGGTGGTAAAGGAAAACATCTACAGATTGTCATTTCATCTTAGAGAGCCATTCAGAAAGAAAGAGACATACTATACGAGCTGGGGACCAGAAACAGATTGAATTCATTAAAAAGACACAAGCCAAACTGTTCATCTCTGGTAAATGAAAAATTATCACTGTTGTTGTTAAAACCATATGTTCTAGGTAAGAGGACAGGTTTTCGTATTCATTGTGACATTTGTTATGAGGAATGTTAATGGACTTAATGCTAGTATGTGCTTAGCAGTAATTTGCAAATTTGAAAAGTAACCTAGAGTTCAAAAAATGAGTAAGGAAGATAAGACACTTCATTGGCGATATTTCTCAATTATCATTGTGTCTGAATGTGAGATCATAGGTGAAGACCGATGACATTTGTCATCATTTCGCAGCTTTAGAGTATGCAGATGCAACCTTTAAAAGAGTTTGTTTATTCTTAAAAAAAAAAAAAAAAGTCTTATTGTTTCTTGGCCTTTTGGCTAAGATCAAGTGTGGTAGGAAAAAAATCTTAATTTTTTTTAAGCTGCTGTATGATGAAATTAATGGAAACTTTGATCGTTTGGCCCAAAGTGGTAGTGATTTGCATCTTTCAGCTGAAACTCTGCTCAGTTCCCCAGTACTAGGTTTTAAAAACAAAAATTACTATTTTATTGATGTGCAGCATATGGGGCATACATGAAGTATAGCAATGTGCACTGCATAGAAAAGTACTCAAATCATTAGTGTTCAGCTGATGAATTTTAACCCAGTGAACACATCCACAATTTATTTATCCATTCTCTTGTTGATGAGCTTTTTGGTTGTCTCCAGCTTTGGCTGACTAATGCTGTAAGAACTTTATTGCTAACATCTTTTGATTATTCATGGGGTATGCATTTCTGTTAGTTCTATAGCTAGGAATAAAATTATCTGGTTAGAGAGTATATATATTTTTTCAACATTAATAGATAATGAGAATCTTTTAAAGAGATTGCACCAATTTACGCGACCACTAGGCATTTATGGGAATTACAGGTACATCCCTCCTTATCCCCTGGTAGTGTCTGCCTTAAGTTTGACCTTTTTGGTGGGTTGTAGCCCATTTTGGCTTTAATTTGCATTTGCCTGAAAACTAATGAGACTGTATATCTTTCCATATGTTTGTTGGCCCCTTAAATATCCTCTTTTGTGAACGGCCTAATCAAGACTCTTGTCCACTTTTCCAGTGTGTTATCTTTTTCTTATTGATTTGCAGGAGTTCTGTGTAAATTCTGGAAACAATTCTTTATGTGGTTGCAAGTATTGTAAACATTCTCCCTTTGTGCAGCTTTTTGAACTCCCTCAATAAGATATTTTGATGAACAGAAATTCTTATTATTAATATTGCCCAATTTATCAATCTTTTGACTTAATGTTACTGCCTTTTACATCCTATCTAAGAAATATTTCCTTACCCACAGGTTATGAAGAAATACTCCTATGTTATTTTCTAAAAGCTTTACCATTTTACCTTTCCCAATTGTACAATCCTCCTTGAATTGATTTTTCTGAACAGTATACAGTAAGAGTGAAATTTTATTTTATTTTATTCTTGAAATGGATACCAATAGATTTAGCACCGTTTATTGAAATGACTGTTTTTCTGCCAGGTCTCTGCATTTATAAAATTCAAGTGTCTGTTTATGTGTTGATCTGTTTCTGGACTCTCTATTATGTTCCATTGGTCTATTTATCCATTTGTACCAATACCTACTTGCTACAATTACTGTAATTTTTTTATAAGTATTCCTACAGAGTAGAATAATTCCTTCTCATTCTAGAGTTTGGTTATGTATTGGTACTTTGCATGTCCACACACATTTTAGAATAAATTGCAACAAAAATTTCTGGGCTTTTAGATTGTTTAGAATCTATAGATCAGATTGGGAAGAATTAACATTTTATAATATCAAGTCTTACAAAACAAAGTATATCTATAAACAGTAAACATACAAGCCTTGTATTTCCATTAATTAATTTAGGTTTTTCATTTAATAATGTTTAATTATTAATAACTTAATTTAATAATATGATAATATTAATATGGATTTTTATATGTGTCTTGAACATATTAGTTTTATTCCTAAATATTTGCTGGGTTTTGATGCTATTATAATTGGTAATTTGCAAATTAGTTTTATTGATTTTTCATATATAGAGTATAATTTATTTTTTAATTGATCTTAGATCCAATATTAATAAGTATACTTATTAATTCTAACAGTATATCTGTACATTCTTTTAGATGTTCTACATACATAAATCATGCTGACTACAAATAATAACAGTTTTATTTCTTTCTTCCCAAACTGTGTACCTCCACTTTTTCATCTTACTTAGTCGCATTAGCTAACACCTACGGTAAATTATTGGAGAAAAGGCAATAATAGGCATTTTTGTCTCTTGCCCTATCTCAGAAGGAAAGCTCTTAATGTTATACTATTAAATGTAGTATTTGCTTCATTTTTAATACCATTTATCAGATTAAGGAAATTTATTTCTATTCCTAATTTGCTAAGTTTTTTTAAGTCATAGAATGGATCTTGACTTTTATCAAATGCTGTTCTGCATCTTTTGAGTGATTCTATGAATTTTCTTTTATTCTTTCAACTTGATGAATTATAATGATTCCTCAATTC